GGGGGGCGCCGGGGGCAGGAAGTGGGAACCGATCCCCCGCCCCCGGGGCAGCGGGCGGAGCGCGGTCCCGGGCCCAGGCGGCGGCAGCGCACGGCGGGGCCGCTCCCCGGGCCGGGCGCGACCCAGCCCCGGTGCCATCTGCCGCCGCCCGCCCCGGTGGGGGCACTCCTGGGGTCCCGCTCGGTGGAGCCGCCCCGGTGCCCGGCGGGAGCGCTGGGAGCCGCGTGTAGCTTCGAGAGAACGATTAGAGCCCAATAAATTATCGATAATTAACATGACGTCTGTGGGTGTCTTTGCGATAGTCCAGTTCGCCTGTGCGTTGCAAATAATGATTATTTTTTTTTCCTGTGTTACAGTCTGAGGAACCCATAGCAATTTATTGTCGTTTGGACAATTATTATCTCACCCGATGAACCCTCCCCACCCGGGAAGGGGAATCGGGGAACGCCAGGATACACGAAGGTTGAAATATAAATAGATTTAATAGGATAAGACCGAGTAACTCACAGTAATGCTAAAGAACCAGTATTGATCCCGATCCTAATGTAAAATACACAAGAACTGTATGCGCAGAAGCCGTGCACTCCCCACAGGGACAGCACTGCGGCTTCGGGAGGAAGGGAAGGGCTCAGGGCTCTGGCACCGGGGCAAGGAGTTCTCAGGGTGGCAGCCATCAAGGGAGAGAGGATTCCTCAGCAAACTTTCTAATTCATATTGGATGTGCCATTCGTGGTATGAAATAATCCTTTTGGCAGCTCAGGTCAAGTGCCCAGGTCTTGCTCCTCCTCGTCCCCGCACCCAGGGAGCTCGAAAACACTGAGACCTGGAATCCCACAAGGCCTGGGAAAATCCTTGCTGGTGCTGATCCCCGTGGAGTGAAACCCCCAGTGCTTGGTGCACTAGTGAGGATCAGTCTCCATGCTCTGTTTGATCCATGTAGATCCAGCATCTTGGCACAAGTCCCGTGCCAGCACTGAAGTCAAATTATCATTTCAGCTGTAACAGTGGTGTCACACTGACCTGCAACTTTTCTTCTTCCCCTTATCAAGTACTAATAACACCTGTAATGAAGTTGACAATGGTTCAGAGATCAGCTTGAAGTAGAGAAGAGCCCTTTCAAGCCTGCAGCGTGGCACACAGTGTGCACTGTGCAGCAGGTCGCACACCACTCCCCCATTCTGAGGCTCACGCACATTTCAGGTGTCTACCGCCACGTGGCCTTGCACACCCAGTGCGGGCCTATGGTTGTTAAAGGCTTTTTTGAAGGAGCAGGGGTGCAAGGCATTGCTCGTTTTAAGGCACGTTGTCCCATTTCATTGTGAAGCCTTTCACCTTCAAAAGTTGTGTCCTGCTTTTCATTCCGCTGCTCCACAACAAGGCCTGTATGGCAAGTCCAACAGTGTTTATTCCGATCACGGATCTCACAGGATCACAGAATGGTTTGCGTTGGGAGGGACCTTAAAGACCACCCAGGGCCACCCCCTGCCCTGGGCAGGGACACCTCCCGCCAGACCAGGTTGCTCCAAGCCCCGTCCAACCTGGCCTTGAACCCCTCTAGGGATGAAGGGTTGCCAGAGCCTGGCAACCTGGGCCAGGCTCTCACCACCCTCACAGCCAAGAATTTCTTCCTGACATCTCATCTCAGTCTTCCCTCTTTCAGTTTAAAAATGTTCCCCCTCATCCTATCACTACAAGGCCTTGTAAAAAGTCCCTCCCCAGCTTTCCTGGAACCCCTTTTAGGGACTGGAAGAGGCTCTAAGGTCTCCCCAGAAACCTTCTCCAGGCTGAACTCCCCCAACTCTCTCACCCTGTCCTCACAGTAGAGGGGCTCCAGCCCTCCCAGCATCTCTATGGCCTCCTCTGAACCTGTTCCAACAGGTCCATGTCCTTCTGACGTTGGTGGCCCCAGAACTGGAGGGATCGTTATGTGATAGAATAATTGTCTAAATGACAATAAATTGTTATGGATTTTTTTTTAAATCATGACAAGAGGTTTTAAATTAATCATTTTATTTACTCTGTAGTGCTAGGTTTTAAAAGTTCATATGGAAGAATTTCGATGGATATAACAGACTATTTTCTTCCCCCAAGATCTTTCACATCTGGCTGATCAATTTAAGAATGAGCTCAGTTTGTCAAATGGTCCTCCTTTTATCAGGCCAGTTCATTCAGAAGTTGGTCTCCGGTGCATATCCGAGCTCCAAGAGTCCCTCTACCCAGGTAAGATGTTTATTCTGTTGTTTTTTGTTTTTTTCAATTTGATTGTATTTGACAGAATTTCTGGGAAGATGATGTGATATAAAGTCAAGATTCTAGGCACACAGCTGTTAGGATATTTAAAAAATGCAGCTGCTCCATGAATGTTGGTTTCCCTGATTTTTCAGGTGTTTCGATTTCTTCTCCCATTTTTGCCACTAAGTATAATCCCCAGTGCACACAATTGCTGAGAATGTACCCATTGTCCTGGGGGGTCTGAGCACTGTCTGCCCCCGTTACACTCAGAAATCTTCCGATGGATGAAGAGACAGAGAATAATTAATTTCTAGCATAATTGAAATCTAAGTAGTCTAATCAAGGAATTATTATTAGTCAAGATGTAATTATATCCTGTAATTATGTCTTTCAAGATGCAATTATTTCTTTACCTCCAGATAAAGAAAGAAAAAGACAATAAATTAAGACCACTGTGAAAAAAGTAATAATAATAGTTACCTACACGTTTCCCCATTCCTGGCATCCCACAACCTCAAGACCTCTGCTGTCCTACCAGACCTGCGCTCTGCAACATCGTGTTAGAGGCAGAAAGATCTCACCCTGTGCAGAAGACCTGCTTGTTGCTACCGTGTAAATTGATGGTTATTGTCCAGCTGGTTAGTATAAAAAAAAATGCTATTACAGGGACACCAGCTGAAAACAAAGCTCCAGACAGGTCAACAAAAACTCAAAGCAACCAGACAAGCCTCCAACCTGAGGACTTGCAAACTCAGTACACCCCCCCATGACTTGGTATCAGCGATACCATGGTGCTCCTTGGCAGGGCTAAGCACTGAGTGTTTGGGTGGGGATGTCTCATCACCTTAGACACTTGTCTCAGCCAGTGACTGAATCCTGGCACCCTGCTTAATGCAACAGGGCAACTTCAGGCTGGGACACGTGGGAAAGTAAAGGTCAATACTGACCTTGCAGGGGCAGAGAACCTTGCCTTGGTTCTGTTTTCTGATGAAGACTTGGACTATTTCAGACACACCTCAGCTGTAAGAGCAGCAATGGTTGCTGAGCAACAGATACTCCCACATACAAAGCCCTGAGAGAGGAGGGAAGAGCAGTAGCCAAAGGCAATGTAAGTCCTTCGTTGTCCCTGCAGAGTGGGGCTGGGTCTTTGGGGCCAGCTCTGGGACACATGGGAGAGATGTGGAATTCCAGGTCCTTGCACAGCCTCAGGACCGCTCCAGTCAGTAGCAAACAGATGCTTTCTCATTAAGCATAGTCCAGGGATTACTTTTTTTTCCAAATTCTGACCGATGGATGTCTGTATTAGTTGCTAATTTTTCTAGTTATTTTTGTAATTTTGCTATTTTTTTGCCCCTGTTTTCAGGATTGCTCTCTGGGGGTTGATGCACTGGTAGGTTAATCGTGTTTTGGTACCGGACATGCAATTGCTGTTTCTTGATGAGAATGTGGTTTTTAACTGGGACACTGTCAGTGTAACTGTGTGCTTGTATTTGAGATTTGTCTATGTGTTATCAATGTGCATAGCTGTAATTTTAACCTGTAAATTTAAGAGACAATTTGTGTTGATATTTTTTAAAATTAGTTGTTATTTTAGAGGAGCATCACATTTAGTGTTGGGATGAGAGGTGTCTTCATGTATTTCCCTATATTTCATAGGAATGTGAATCTATACATGAAGAGACCGATCATGCTCTCAGGTGCCTTTTCCCTTGCTATATGCATTGTGTTTTACCGGTCAGGAGCGTAGGAGACACTGCAAGTATGCTGCTCCAGCTGGTTCAACCCCAGGTCTCACTGTGGTAGCAACACATCTGTCAGAGGAATACCTAAATAACGAGAAGGCAGGTAGAAAGGAGGCAGATCCCTCCAATGAGACTTTTTCTTATTCCATCTAGAAGTCAGGCATGCCTGAAGGATGGAGTTTACATCTCTTTTATTCATATAAAAAAATCCTTACAGATTATCCTGGGAATGCTGAATTTTTCACTCACACTAGATCATTTACTTTGATGACCTCATGGTATAATGCATTCCTACAGCAGTTGGTGTGATGAGTAAATTATTTGCTGTATATTTTTTTTTAAATTTTGTTATTTCTTTTTTTCTAGTGGGTTCTAATGAAATCAAATGGAAGCCAGAAACCATCTGCACCGACCTGTTCTCAGAGTATCCCGGATTACAGGATTTAAAGAAAAAACAGATCCATCCACTTAACAAGGGGGTACTGATATTTTCAAGGAGCTGGGCTGTTAGACATTGGATTGCCGAAAAAGCAGAATGTTGTGTGTGATGCTCTCTTAGTAGCTGAAAACACGTGTCCAGTATTGTATGCTGTAGTTGGGGTCACCTCTTCTGTGAGTCTGAAAACTGGAGAGAAAGCGCTTACACATTAAAGCAGAAACTAGTCAATGTTGGAGGGTATGACTCAAAAGTGTGTGTGATTCCCCAAATACCACACCTGAACCAGATGGAAGTTGCAGAGTATGATGTTACCCAGCAAGAAAACCAAGAAAACCCGTGTGGTTCTGCCAGCTTGTACCCAGAAAATTGCACCCTCACCTCCAGGGACACCCCCGTGTTCCTAGGTGCACTTGTGATCCTTGTGCTGAGCTTTAGGTCCTACTTAAGGGACCTCCTTGGCTGTGAGATTTTCAGCCTTCTCACTCTCAAACAGTATGAGCTGCTTTCCAAGAACCTGCACAAAGTCAATAAACAGTTTGTCCTTGGTCTTCCTGGATCAGGGAACACAATCATGCCTTTGAAGATCATTAGAAAATATATGCAACATCTTTCACTGTTCTGCAGAAGAGACACTCTATATTTGTGAAAATCAACCCTTGAAGAAGTTTGTGGAGTAAGCAACACTGTGTTTTTCCCCCTTTTTCTTTCATTCCGTCCTCTGTACGTAGAGTACAAACCTTGCTGATTTTACATCTATTTGCCAAATACATAACCTTGGCTGACACCAACACACAATAATCATCTCGAAAAGGGTGTTAATACTGATGGTATTTTTGAGCTGAGCTCTGGCCCAGACCCAGCGGTCTCTGGCTACTGTGAAAATTCCACATTGAGTCATTGCTAGATTGCGCCTTTTAACAGTCTGTCACAGCTGGTGCTGACACCAAAACTATCCACCTGCCTTCCTCCGTTGCTGCGTTGGATGGAAGCTGGCAGTGTCCCACTGGCCAACTGGCTCAACAGAAGTGCTGCCAGTTCCTGCTCAGCCTTGGGGGAAAAAGGGAGCCCATCCTTCCCGTGCTGACTTCCCTGGGGCAGAGGGACACCCCTGGGGAGCCTCGCCACACGGTCCCCAGGTAGGAAGGGTGGGCTTGGGCGTTCTCCTGGGGTAGGGCCACAGCCAGTTGGTGGGGGCTGTGCAGGCTGTGCCAATCCACTGGAATAAATGTTTCCATCAGGAAAATGACAAAGGCATGCTGCAGCTGAGATGGGAAGTTTGGCATTTTTAGAGAGTAAACAGCAATAGCCCTCCAAGTAAGAACCCACTGAGACAGTCAATACAGAATTGTCTGGTCACAGCTTCTTTTCATTTACCATATGGGTTTCAGTTTGGGTTTTTTTTCAGAAGTCAGATCTGCCAGCTTATGACGTATATTGCCTTCAGAAGTGGGTCATTCCCAAAAGTGAAACACATTGTGGTTGATGAAGCTCAGAATTTTCGTCATGGTGGATTGTGGTTTGAATGGGCCTGGAACCTAGACGAGAAGGAAAGTGGCATTTGCTGGGTCTTCACGGATTTCTTCCAGTCCACTCACCTACGTGGTTGTGGGCTTAACTTTTCAAAACTATATACTCAGGAATGGTTGACTGAAGTGGTCCGGAATGCCAAGCAAATACACAATGTCATGTCTGATCTAATGGAGAAAATCCTCCAAGTACCTGAAAACATACTAATGCCCTATGACATGATGGAAAACTTGTTTAGATAGGCTGAATGTGCCCGTTCTTTGCCAGGTGACTGCATAGAAAAAAAAAAAAAAAAAAAAATGGAAACATCTGAAATGGTAGAGTACGTGACCACACAGTGCACCAGATACATCCAGCAAGGCTGTCCCATCGAAGATACTGCAACCCTGGGCAGTACACAGTGTGCTGCCTAGGAGTGCTGTCAGATATTGGAACCTGACATAAGAAGGGACCCGATGAAATACAGGGGGAGGTTGGTCTTCAGGTCAGCAGAAAATGTTTTAGGAAACGTTATTGTTATTGATAGCATCTCACATTTCTCAGGCCTAGAAAGAAGGATCATATTTCACATCCACCCTGTCCCCGCAGAAAAGAAGCTATCATCTCTCCAGTTATCGCTCTGCGCAGCATCCGGAGCCCACACCAAACTCCATTTGCTGTTTTACAAGTTCTTTAAGAGGGCAGGCTTTAGCCTCACATAGACCCAGGGACATGTTTCACTCATGTTCTGTTCAGCGAGGTAGGACAGCTGTAGGATTTTTTAAATCTGTGCAAAAAAAAAATACTGTAGGTTTATATATATATTTCATCATGTAGGATGAAATAATAGCCTGTAGGATGTCATAAAATTGACTTTAATTGTAGGACATTGCCACCTGGAGAGAACAAATGGCTGGAAATGGCAGTTGCAGAAGGAAGTCAACAATTACAAACTACTTGAATAAATGATAGAACAGTTTGAAAACTTGTGCTTTCAATTCATCTCTCATTAAGCTGATTACATGTTCTGTGTGGTTTCTGCACCAGCAGAGTGGAGCCCCAGCTTGCTGCTGGGAGTGCTGGTGTCTGTCCAGCTCCTGGGGATGGGGCTCTGGTTCCTCCTCAAATCGAATCCTCTCAAATGCAGGTTTCTGCCTATGAAGGCAGTTCTGTCCCCAGCAAAACAGTCCCAAACCTCTCATAGTAGGGAGTTGGGAACCTGAGTGGGGCTTTTTTGGCAAATTAAGTTTTTGGCTGAGGTATGCTCCACCTCATCACACAGCTGCCCAAGCGCTGGTGCTGGCAGGAGAGACAGCAGGAGCATGGTCCCTGGAGAAGGAGGCAGCACAGGATGACAGAACGGCTGCCCAGAGAAGCTGTGGCTGCCCCATCCCTGGAGGGGTTCAAGGCCAGGTTGGAGGGGGCTTGGAGCAACCTGGTGTGGTGGGAGGTGTCCCTGCCCAGGGCAGGGGGTGGCACTGGGGGGGCTTTGAGGTCCCTTCCCACCCAAACCCTTCTGTCATTCTCTGACTCCGTGCCGCGGGACCCGCTGCGCTGCCGCGCCGGTGGCCGGTCCCGCTCTGCCCCGAGGCCGAGCTGGGCCCCCCCGTGCTCGGGGGCGGACGGGGCCCGGCCACCGCCCTTGGTGGGAGCCGGGGGGAGAAAGGGGACGCGGCCGCCGTGCGCCCTCCGGCCGCCAGGGGGCGCTGTGGCCCGCCCGTCTCCATGGTGAGGCGGCGGCGCGGCCATGGCGGAGCCGCTGCGGAGCGCGGACGCGGGCGGCGCCGTCTACCGCTCCCGCGACCCCCTGCGCAACCTGCGCCTCCGGTGAGGGCAACCCCGCGCCCTGCCCCGGCCCCCGGTCCCCGGCCCGCCCTCACCGTTCCCCTTTCTCGTCTCTCCCGCAGGGTCCGCATCCAGCGGGTGGCCTCGGCTGGGCCCCTCCTGCCGCAGGCCCCGCCGCCGCTCGCCGGCCCCGAGCTCCCGGGTCTGGCGGACCGC